ACCAGTCAATGTCTCTGGTGGTGATAAAGAGTTTATTTAGACGAAAGACTATATATATATATATATATATATATATATATATCTTCTTGGATGACTAAAGGAGAAGAATGATGCCCAAAAAGACGAACACCAATTTGATAAAAGAATTAATAATCCAAAAGGATGTGCCATCGTTAAGAGCTGGCCTTGCAAGTTGTCGTTTTTGGACATACATATACCCAGTCTAGCTACGGTGTGAAGTGAGAATGAAACCTCCCAATCGCCGCCTATCCTCGTGAGCAAGTAGCCTTGTCGTCGGCTCAATTGGTAGCTGTGCCCAGTTTGCTTAGTTTAAAACTATTAATGTCAATAAGTTCGGTGGGATAGAAAATCCAATGATGTAGCCATCCAACGTATCTAAGTTGATGCAATGGAGCATGCACATGAGCTTGAGATAAATCTCGACCAAAACATGCTAAATATGAAAAATTATGATTGGTTGGATAGTCGAATTTGACATTGATCTGGTTTTTTTTCTTAAAAAAAAAAAAGATTCCTTTCTTCATGGTTCCGAATCTGGTACCTCACCTTCACAAATTATGCAAATACCACTTTATCATTTCTTGTTCTATAATTTTAATTTTGGAAAAAAGAAGTTATATTATAATGCTATTGATCCAGTTGTTTGACCAATGTAATTCCACTACTTGAACCATTACATAGTAATTCAACAGTCTGATAATTTTAATAGCATTGCTAGAGTTCACTGAAGAGATTTCTCCATAACAAAAAAAATTCAATCCCACCAAAATATAAGCCCCGAAACAAAAATAAAATAAAATATAAATCTATTATTAGAATTAATTTTGAAATCAAAGCATTCTTTTAATTTTTTAAATGCACTATAATTATTAAAAATATATTTATTTTTTTAAGTTACTTAAATTATCCTATAACATAAATATAATTATCTTAATATTGCAAATTTCTATCAACATTACAACTTTTGAAAACTCTAATTCTTATTGACTATTAACTCTAAGAATATATATTTTAATGTCAAACAATCATCTTAATTTAATAGTTTAATATGTTAAGTTAAATTATAAGATATGATTATTTATATTATTTCCTAATATACTTTAAAAAATAAAAAGTTTTTTGGGTTTAAAACTTGTATAAATTTATATTATTTTTTATTTAATTTTTTATTAAATAAATAAAAATAATAAGATTATTACTTGAAATCTCTAAATATTATCCACCACATACTCTAAGAATAGATATCCTAATCTCTCGAGCAATTATGCAAATCAAGCCACGTTAGTTGTTTGGAAATTCTAATGCAAGAAAAGCATGCATCAAGCTAGTGGTTTTCTCTATTTTAATTGTTTGTGACTATGCGGCCGACACAATTACAAGTCTATGATTGAGTGCCAATAACCCGAGCGTTGCTCGTCCTCTTATATATGTTGTTCTTCATATAAAGATTTATTCTCTCTAAGAAAATTGCATATTTCATTTGATAGAAGTTTACATTAATGATTTAAGATTAAAGCTCTGAAAGAGATAGTTAGTAAAGTATTCCTTATAATACAACATTCTAACGTTAATGAACCACGTAATTAAAACAATGTTATTTATAAACTTGCCAAACCCAACTAATCAATTTGATAACCAATTCACAGCTTGGCAAGTACTATCATATTTTAAATTGAATTGAATGTGAGTTAAAATCTGATTTAATTTGTAAACAATTTCAAATAATAACCATTTATTTTTTTAAAAAAAAATCTTGGAATAACATTATTTTGAATCCATCCAGCTAACTGTAAAAGTTGTAAATGTAATTGAAAATGGATTCATTTATTCCTACATTCAATTGTTTCTTTTCCACAAGTGGCTTCTCAACAAGGCACTAAAGGTTAAAATATCCTCTATCCGAAAACCGTGTTTTTTGATTTCCTTGTCCCAAAATCCAATTTGATAATTGGCGACGAAAATAATTGAAATGTTCGTAATTACACCAATGCCATTTTATTTGCCCCAAAATCAAATTTTATAATGATAATGAAACTATTTGAACAATCACGATTGCTAGCGCAAAGCAGTGGTGTCTGTTAAGTGAATCAATAATGACAAAAGTCACAATAAAATATTGGACTGAAAATAATATGAGCATGAATCTTAGATCTACCATGTCTATAAGAAGGATAGGATGCATGACTTAAGCTTCATATTCACTTGAGAACTCAGCAAAGTAAGTAGACACGATGGCTAAGTTTGCTGTGGCTAATCTCTTGATCCTTCTTTTGAACTTGGGCGCTTTGCTTACTTCAATTGCCTGTCCCTCTTGCCCTTCCCCGCCTCACCCTAAGCCACCAGTAAAACCTCCCAAAGTAAAGCCGCCATTCCACCCTAAACCACCAATCGTGAAGCCACCAAAGCCTGAAACACCATGCCCTCCTCCTCCAGCACCACCAATCGTGAAGCCACCACCAACACCACCGAAGCAAGAGACTTGCCCCATTGACACTCTCAAGTTAGGCGCATGTGTGGATGTCCTAGGCGGACTAATCCACGTTGGTATTGGCAGTAGTGCCAAGGATGAATGCTGCCCACTGCTGGAAGGTCTTGTAGACTTGGATGCTGCTTTATGCCTTTGCACCGCTATCAAGGCTAAACTTCTCAACATCAATCTTATTATACCAATTGCTCTTGAGCTCCTTGTTGACTGTGGCAAGACCCCACCTGAAGGGTTCAAGTGTCCTTCCTAATTAATTAGGTACTGCCTAGCTTCAATCTTCAGAATTCTTCTATATGTAAATGATTTTTTGTATTGATTTTGACTAGATGTTCAGTTAATTAGAAAAATATTAATTCATAGTTTGTCTTCTGTGTTCGATGATTGCAGGTTGTGCTGCAACTCACAGAGTATACATGTGTGGGCTTGAAAGCATAATTAAAGAATAACTGCACGAGGGATCTTCAAATGGCTAGAATGAAGCATTTTTATATAGGATATCTTGTGTTTTGCTCTCCTAGAGAATTTTCTTCTGTTCTTCTTTCCCTTTTATAGAGAATATATTGCGTGTTAATTTGTTTTACTTCTTGTTTACCTATTATGGCTATGCTTTGTTAAGGGCCAGGGGTTGATGTTCTTCGTGTACCCACTACTTGAAATTAATATTATAAAAATTTGGTTCCATCTTATTATGGACATGAAGCCCACAAGCATAAGACACAAATGAAGTTAGCGTCCATAGACTCCATGCTGGCCTGTGTGTTTTAAACGTACGATTCTCATTTGAAATGAAGTTCATGGTTTTGGAACCTAGAAGTTTTAAGCCTAACAAGATCGTTCCCTGTGATCTATAACTTATTATCTTTTTTGAACTCAAAATTAATGATAAAGAACAAAATTAAATGAAAGAGATCCAGACAGAAAAGGTTTTAAAGTTCATATAAAAATATTTATTTTGATGCTTGAACTTTATAATACACACACATATATATATATAGTCAGTTGTTCAAAAATTTTTTCAATTCAATTTTGACAAAAAAATTCATTTTTATTATTTTTAGATCTTTAATTTAAAAGAAAAAAAAGTCACTAGAATCTAATAATAGAAAGAAAAACTCTATAATTTCATTGATTTCAACCATTAAGTTTGGAAAGGTTCTATTTTGCAAGGAGAGTTTCATTTTTTTTTTAATTTTAAAATGGCCTAAAACTAGATCTAAACTCAAAAAGAATTTTGGTTTTGAATTGATTTTAGTTTTTTAAATAGTTTTTTTAAAGTCATTTTATGTGTTTGTAAAGATATTTGTGCTATTTTCTAATTGTTTTGGTTAAAACTTGGTTTTTGAATAAAAAAAATATATATCTTGTTTTTCAACCCCATAATAGTTGAAATCTTAGGAATTCCACACAACAGATCATTTGGAATATTTTTTTCAAAATATAATATTATGGATGGCAAGGTGTTCTTTGTGATTATATTTTTTTTAAAAGGCCTCTTGCAGATCCACACATAGGCCTTTTTTTTAATGGGCTAGACCCAGCGGCACCTAACCTTTTACTCTTTTTTTTTGTAATTTTTCCTTTTGTAAAAAAATCATGTTTTTTTAATAATTTTTAAAATTATATTTCAATTAATATCTATTCTTTCTTCTTCTTCTTCTTCTTCTTCTTCTTTTGTATTTATCCTTTTTTAAATAGTGTTTTTTTTGTATGAGTTTAATTTTTGAAGAGTTTATTCTAATTCATGTATATTTTTTACATAAAAAATACATTGAAAAAATCAACATATTTAATTTTTTTCTAAAAATAAACCAATAGCAGATGATAGATCAAATAGTTATTACTCACCGATAAAGGCCGAAGTAATGACCAACCTCAAATAGAGTTGATACACCCAAACTAATCACCATATATGAATGCATTACCTCACATGTACTATTCTACATCGACGGGTGAGGACTTGAGGGATGGTCTTATATGAGCACACTTATCTTGACAAGTAATATGCATTTTAGGGCCATGCATGACTGCCATTAACAAATTTGTAAGGCTTGTCAGCCAAAGTAGACTGGTAGTTTCGACGAGGTCATCAAGCTCCTTAAAAAGGATGGATTGTAATATCTTACATCGGCAGTTGAGAAGGACTTGAAGTAGGGCATTATATTAACTTGCTCACCTTAACTTGTAAAATATTTTGAAGCTATGCGTAGTTGTTAAGAATAAATTTGTGAGGTCTGTAAGTCAAAGTGAATAATATCTTACTAGTTAAGTGGGGTGTTACATCATAAAACTCCCAGCTCGTACCTATAAACTGATTTAGGAATAGAAGAATTCTCATCTCTTTAAAAGAATTTGTTTTGCAAGTGTTAAAGTGTCCAAATCTAATTCCTTATGTCTTTTTATTCTTTGTAACTTTCAAAAAATTAATTTTTTTTAAAATTCATTATTCTTATCATTTTATTAATTATTTAATGTTTGATTTGATACAATGTGATGAGCACATTTGTGCATATATGCTTTTAATTTTGACTATACCTGAGTAATTGTTTTTATTAAAGAAATTAATTCATTTGAAGAAGTTACAATATAACTTAAAATATTATTTAGTTTAATAATATAATTATGAAATTGCTCTTGAAAAAACCTATTGAACTAGATATTAAGGGTAAAGTGATCTTTTTGCTATATTATAATTATCTTTAACATATTATATGAAGTTATATTTGTCATTTTTTTGCATAGTAAAGTTACTACTCTAACCCTAGAATAAAAAAATATAATGCCTTTCACTTAAGTATTTTTCGATCATTTTACATCGATTTTATTGTAAATTTAGAGGTTACTCAATGATATATATTAAATATTATTAAAAAGATAATCCCGTGTCGTTTAGGGGGCACGTGTAGAGCTATTCATTCACCAAATACCGCCTTTCATAAAAGCTTTTTTAAGATCTCAACACCCTTTGCTCGGTAGATGTAGATTAGAGCATCTCTGGTTTAAAGTCGATGATATTTTTTTTGTATTTTTTTTCCATTTGTTTTCTTCTCTCTCTCTCCCTTTCTTTCCTCTTTGAATTTAGCATCAGTCCCTTCAAAATTTCAGATCAACCCTTTCAATTTTTTTATTCAATTCACATTTGATCTTTTTCCTTTTGATTACTATTTTTGTTAATAAGCTATAAAATTACAAATATTTTTAAATTTCACAACTCTTTGATTTTTTTAATTTATCAAATTTGATACTCATTCTTTTATATACTATTTATTTTATTTGGGATTTTTTTTTAATTTTTTTCTATCAAACTTTATCCTTATTCTTTTTGTTATTATTGTTTTTGCTTTTGCAAGTTTTTTTATTAATATTTTTTTTCATGATTTCATCATTCATAATTAAATTGTTTGATAATTAACCTTCTTAATTGAACCTAGAATTAGGATTTCATGGGTTGTAAGTTTTAGAGATTAAAAAAAGTTTACAATATTCACCTGAGTTTGATTATTTTTTTCTCTTTTACTAAGTTGATGTTTTTTTTTAGTTTTGATTTATTATTTTTTATTGTTTGTCTTCTATTGGATTAGTTTTAGGTTAGTGTGGGTTCACTTAAAATTTTTTTTGATAGATTTGAACTTTATCCTTCGAACTTTTTTCTCTGATTTTTTATGAGATTATCTCAATCTTATGCTTTAAGTCATGGGGTTTTCGAGTTCATCTGATTTAATATGTTTTTTTTTGTTTTTAATTTTTTTTTTAATTTTTAATTTTTAATTTTATCATTTAATATTGAATTGTTTAATAATCCAAATAGGTTTAAGTCTGGTTTTGTTTATTTTTTTGTTTTTTTATCAGTTTATTTATTATTGTTATATTTTTTATTTAATTATTTAATTTAACAATTAAACTAATAACTCAAGTGTTGGATTTTTTTATAATTTTTTTTCCTTTGATAAAAATTTACCCGGCCCTTTACAGATCATGGATAATAAATCTAGCAAGAAAGAAAGTACTGGAACATAAATGATCTCCTAGGAGACAAGGATTATGGATGAAAGTTATGCCACACGATATTCGATGTCAATAAAATCTGAGACTTGAATTATTGGTTTAATCCCTCCATTTTGGCATTTACTGCGCAGCAGCTATCTAGATGCCAAAAGGAAAAATATATGTGATTGGGTTCAGCTATCTGAAATCTTATGATGTTACCTAAAGTTAATACTATATATGCATAGTGCTTGGTTTACTGGAAAAAGGCTAGAAAAGGGGGGCATAAAAAGGAGGAGGAGGAGGACATTTATACTGGCATGGAAAGGGCTCTTTTGAATGTATTTTGATATGATATGGGTAAAATCTGGTGAAACTTGATAAGAGGACCCAGGATTAATTACTGGAAAAAATCCATTAAGCCATTGGGTTTACTTCTAATCATTTCTGCAATGGAAACCACATAAATAGAAAAGGTGAATTTTTTTAAAAAGAAATTAACAACAAAACAAGATTGTATCAACTTGGTAGGACTGAAAAACCAATGATTTAGTCATCTAAGTACTAGCCTTGCTTGATGCAATGGAGCACGAATATAAGCTAATTAGATCATGCTTGATCAAAATTAGCTAACTCAATAAAATCTGAAAATTTATCATTAGGTGGACAATTGAGTTTGACATTGATCTAATTACATAAAATTAAAAAAAAAACACATTTTACAAGGTTTCAAATTTGGTACATTTATTATTACATGTTATTGATCAAATGATTCAACCACACTATTCCACTTTTCAGATCGGTTTTAATTACATTGCAAAAAAGGTCTGCAGAAATTCCTTCTCAATCAAACAATTAACAAGATGTGAATATATATTTTTTACACAAGAAACCTGAGACAATTGCCTACAACTTTTATGTTTTCGAGTGACTCCAATTTTGACATTATCAATGACGTTTTGGGCAGACAAGAGAAGATAAGGATTGTCACCAAGTCAAGAGTTGGCCACCCACTCATCAATTAGTCATCAAATCAATAGTTCCCAATTTTGGCCTATAAAAGAAG